TTAGGGCTATTCGTAGGAGCAAAGAATTCAGCAAGACACCTAATAGGAACTGTTATCTATTTCTATGTAGGAAATAGACATGGTGTGCAAGTAAGTTAAACCATCGTTGCACATTGACTCTTTGACGTACACTTGAAGTATGTGAAGGACTAATACAAAAATCGCAAAAGCCTGCAAATCCAAATTTGATTATGTTTGGCTCTTCTTTATTTGTCATGTTAGCACAAGAACGATGTATCTTTCGAAAGATTCTCAAGTCTCATCTTATTGTGCAAACACATACGCTTTTTGACCGGTTCACTGGCTCCCTTTTTCGCAAAGAAGTCTAGCAGCGTTAATTATTTTATTTTTCCAATTTTTTCAGATTTTTGTTAGACATTACTCATTCTAATTTCGGTCTGACCAAGGAAAATTAAAAATTAAAGTTCACTGAGAAAACTGAATTCATGCCTACAATGCAATCCTCGAGCTATCAAAGTCATATAAATTAAACTGACTGCTCACCCCCATTTGGGGCATATGAATAATGCAAAAAATGGCTCCAACAAGACTCCCTAAACACGGGAAACTCACCCCTGTCACCCTAAGCTTCAAAACACTGTCAGAATTATTCACGGATAAGAACACATGCCATTTAGACATAGAGCTCAAATTACGGGTAAAAGAACAAAAGACCAGAATCAAAATTGGCTTCTCCCAAATGACTTATTTCAGGTGGGAAAAATAATGAGGTAACTAGTGTCTCCTTCATCTCAACAACGAGATTATGTAAGTAAACTAAGTCTAAAACTTCAAAAACATCCTTATTAATTATGCACAAGCTTAACCACCTCACAAGGACGAAGGTTAACAAAGAGTTACACAAATAACCACAAGTCTGGCGGGTTCAGCAATCTCGGGGATGCAATAATCCAACTTGTAAGAGTTTTTTTGTCCAATCACAAATAAAAAATTCTATTTATAGCCTTTAAACTAGTAGGTCATGTTTTAAAAATATCTTGTGTTTTGATGGAAATGGGAGATTGAAGAAACGATGAAAGCATTTACAAGAACGATGAGAAAAGCCTGTGAGAGTATGTGGCTATAACCGAAGCAAAAAGCACAAATCGAGGAGAACGGGTTGGACATAAAAAATAGCGCAAAACTTAAAATGTCAAGGTGGTATTCACAAAAAGATTCAATAGTTAATTGCAGAGTTGTGCAAGATGACCTGTAAATTGATTCACCCACAACTACTCTGTATATTGTTTAATGTGAAATTTGCACGAGTAATATTTATTTTTATGCATTTTGCAAAAAAAAACCCCTCAAAAAACTTCAAAAACACATATCTCAATTCATTAACTACTTCATAACAAGGAACTGCAAACTAATGGTTAGTTCTTGGTATGTTTCACAACAACATCATCAAAGTCTTTATCATTACCAAAAGAAATCAGAGTCAGTCAGTTAAAGTGAACCGACATATGAAATCGGAATTAAAAAGATACATAATAGATAATAAAAAATAAGATAAGATAGAAAGATACAGAGATGTTTTTATATCGAAGTCTTTATCATTACCAAAAGATGTTTTATTATCTTAAAAAAATAAGATAATAAAAAGATAAATAGTTGTGCACTCAACTAAGAAGACGTTTTTAATTTCTACTGATTTCAGTCCCACTCAAAATCAGACTAGATCAAAATTAAACAGACTAGATTTAACGGACTATGCTTTGAAATTTATAATATAGACATAGAAAAGACAACTAGCAAACCATATCAGACCGGTTAATTTGTGTCCGCGGCTTAATTTGTGGCTAGTGTTGTACTTATAAATCCATTGACCACCGTTTATACTAGCAACTACAAACCTGGAATTATCATATAAAATGCAATTTATTTTTATAGATAGTTTGGTAGTTATCTCTTCTTGTTCATTTTTTTGTTTCTATCCCAAGTCCCAATCGACAGGTTAGGAAGAATATCAATAGGATGTATGAGTACTGCAATGGCTAAATGAGCTAATGAAATGAAATTATCATTATAATTAGGCTACCTAAAGGGCCAAATGACGCCCCTAAACTCAAAATAACACCAATTGTCACTCTGAACGGATGGATAAAAAGATTCAAATTTCACTTTTTGCAGGTTACGATCGGGTCACCGCCATGACACCCGATAGGGTGTCGACTGCACATGTGACGTTGCAACTTATTAAGGGGCCAAATAAGCCCCTGAACCCGACTTAATCTAAGCCAGCCCCCAACCATTAATAATCATAATGTTAAAATTACGAAAAAAGTAGAAATAAAAAATAAAAATAGAATATAAATATAAAAATATAATAAAAATACAAGTAATGTGTAATGAAATAAAAAAGGAAAGTAAAGAAATTAATTCTTTAGTTGTATTTACAAATAATATATTTATATGTTTTGTAACAATATAATGTAACAGTTACATCGCACACATGGATATGTGTGTGTGTGTGCGAGTTGCCGTCCACACACATGATTGTATGTATATTAGCTTACTTTATATAGTATAATTGTATAAAGTACACATAATTAGTATGTAGTACTTCATATAAATAATACATAAAAACCAATTGAATATGTGTGTGTGGGGTTCTATTTCTATATTTTAATTTTTATATAAAGAGTAATTTTTTATTACTATAGATATAATAAAGTGTAATTTGTAACTTTGAAAAAAATATTGTTAAATAAAAATAATATATTTTTATTATATATTTAAATAAATTAAAAAAAATATGAATTTAAAAAAATACAAAATGGATAATGTAAACATAATGCTTCATATAAATTATCAAACCGAAAATCTAAAATTTGTGTTATATTACAAAACATTAGATATAATAGATACAATAAAATTTTTAATATAGTTGGTAATAATATATTGCTTATTTCTTATATAAAATATATGTAGTAGCTATAAATATGGAAATAAAGTTAAAGAATTTCTTTTAGTTTTTTATTTTATTGTATATTTACCATAAAATATAAATATTGCATATACACCTTACCGGATGATGTCGAAATGTATTTTATTATATATTTGTATTTACATATGTATTTTTTATTCTTTTTTTTTAATTTGACATTTTAGGTTTGAGGGGGTAAATTGAAAGATTTAGTCGCTTTAAGTGCCTATTTGACCCCTTTGGTTGCCCCATTTGATGCACAGTTGATGACACCTTACCGGATGACGTCGAAGTGATTGAATCATGACATACAAATAGTGAAATATAATGTTTTATCGAGTTCAGGGTGTCAATTGGAGTTTTTTAGTACAGTGGTCTATTTGACTGTTTAGCCATGTTATAATTATTAGGAAAAAATACTGAAAAGGTACTTGTGGTTTGGCCCGTTTTCAGACAGGGTCATGTCACTACTACAAAAGAGGGTTTCCACGTCGGTTATTTATACCCTTTTACGTCGGTTTTGAAAGTGATGAGGAATGTGGGGACGTAATAGGTAATATCTTCTTACGTCCGTTTTTTAAAATAACTGACGTTAAAACCAATACCATATGATATAACGACGGTTCTTTAAAAACCGACGTCATACGTGTGACGTGAAATGTCATCTTTGTAGTAGTGTGTGTTTCATTCTTTATCAAAGTGCTTCATGTGTTTGAATTTCATTATCACAAGAGGGTCACGCCGTTAATTAAAAACGTCTGAAAAAGAGTTAAAAGTAACTCTGATGTTCAAAAGTGCCCGAAAAATTAAAAGAAAAATACCAGAAGGTGCGCCTCAATAAGAGGACCGCTAGGTCATCTTTCTTTTTTGTTTTCAGCCACCCTTGTCACCGGAAAGTCCACCGGAAAAGTGATATTAGTGAAATCATTTTTAAAAAATTAATTCAAACAGATCTGAAAAATCCAAAGGCGGAGGTGGTTTGGAGATCATCTTGATGAGACGCACCTTTCAGTAATTTTCTTTTAATTTTCCGTGCAATTTTGAAAATCGGAGTTACTTTTAATGGTCTTTTTTAGACGTTTTTAACGGCGTGACCCTCTTGTGATAACAGAATTCAAACACATGGACCACTTTGATAAAGAATGAAAAACATGACTCTATCTGAAAACGATCTCAACCACAAGTACCTTTTTCCTACTTTTCCCTAATTATTATGATTAAAAACAAATATTAGACATCGCCGGAACACCTATACTAGTGAACAGATTGAAACACAACTTGCTGAAAGGGGTGTGTTATTTATTTTATGCTATTATATTCAATTTTCAAATTGAGTTTCATAATAATAAAATACACCTATTCAGGAAAATTTACTCATGTAGATAATCATTACAAATAATTACATATTTATGACTAAAATAAAGTTTCTTGACAAAAATGTGATTAGTGACTAATGTGGTAATGAAATTAATTTATATTCAATTTTAAACTTAAGTTACCATGACACTACATTTTAATAATTATTAGTCATATTTGTATAAATAAGTTTTATTTTGTAATCTTTTTGTAAAAAAACCCTAATTATTATGGAGACTCATTTTAGTGAAAATTTCTACTTCTTTTCGGGAAAGTTTCAGTTAATTTAATTGGTCATGGTAATATCCTCAATCTTCACAATCTTTAACTAATTAATATGGAGTATTAGGTCCAAATATGTTTTTGATCCCCGTAAATAGACAATATTTAGTTTTACATCGCTGTAATTTTTTATTATTATTTTTCATCCCTGTATTTTTTTCTCTTTATTTTTCATCCCTGTAAAACCGATTGTTACAATCTCCGTGTCGCAAACGAAACAACTGGGCTAATAGATTTCTTCTAATTCTTAGATATTTATGGATGGACGAAAATCACTTAAACATTTTATAATCATGATTTCTAAGCACCAATTTCCAATGATTGGACAATTCTCCAACCATTTATGGTTTACATTTGATAGCTATATTTTTTTTTGAAATATTGATAACTATATAAATAGCACTCCATTTCTCATTTCCCTCACAATTCTTAAGCAAGAATAAAGGTGTGTTTGTGAATGCTTAAAAAAAGCACTTTCAGCTTTTTTGGAGTGTAAAAGCTAAATGGGGTGTTTGCAAATGAAAAATTCAGCTTAATTTAATCAGTTTTAAGCCAAAAGCAGGTCTGGGCATGCTTTTTTCTGCTTCTTGGTATTTCCGTAAATAAGTTCAACTTTTTGGGATGTTTTTATTTCTAAATATAAAAAATACTCCAAAAGTACCCTTATCCCAAGTACCCTCGTACAGAGCATCTTTCATCATCCCTACGTGACAACCACCTTCCCTCCTCCAAAAATTGCAGCCGGACGATGTGCTTCGCTACACCAGACCGCCGCCGCCACTCCCGCAGCAGATTTGCTTCGCCACCGCCGGCAGTCAAGGAGGAATCTGCACAACTGTTTCTGCTCTCTTCGGATTTTAATCATCATATTCTATTTTTTTTTTTTGCCCAATTCTACCAACCCTTTTTCTGCCTCTTCCGATTTTCCCATCCATACCTCACTCGCTTTCTCTCCAGGGGCAGAGCAATGATGTCGTACACCTGGAACATCCTTTTGTTGGCAACTGATGGAGCATCTTATTGTAGAGGCATGATTATCTAATTGGAGGTTACTTTTGTAATTTAATAAAATATTACCTTAGGAATCACTTTTTTACCAAACACTCCAACTTTTACATTTTAATTAAAATCACTTCTATTCCCAAACACTACCAACTTTTACTACAAATCACTTTTCCAATAATCTCTTAAAAAAATCACTTTTAAAAAGCACAAGCAATCGCAAACACTCCCTAAGCATTCCATCTTGTATGCACTACATATTACACTATCAAATCTATTCAATTAAATATGGGTCGCATATTGCCGCTCACCATAGCTTTAGCCATTGTAGTTGTAGCCCTAGCTGCTTCTCCATTGGCGCGTGCATATGACCCCGACAAGTTGCAGGACTTTTGTGTGGCAATCAAAGACTCTGACGCTAGTGGTACGCATTTAATCAACAACTTTGTTATTCTCTTTGTCTAACAAGTTTCTAAATAAGGTTTTCGTTATTTAACGTGACAAAATAAAGTTTCATTGTCCTAAATAGCAAATTTATAATATTTCAGCATCATGAATACCCTCGATACGTATCTCTTGTAGTAACTTCTTTCATTGCATGTGGCAAGGGTGAGGGGATTTTGGATGATCAAAGTGACAACTTGATTTAAGAATTGACGGACGGAAAACTAAAATAATCATTTCTCACACACACATATGATTCAAATAAAAAGATCAGTCTCATATACTCCTCAGCTCCCACCGTCCTTATATAAAAGGCACGTTTACTTTTGCACTCATCTTTAGGAGGATCGCTGTTTATTAGCACTATTTGACACTGTTTTGCGTTGTTTTGTTTGTCAAAAGGGAAATGAGTCTTTTATATTGGGACAACCCAAAAAAAGTGTCTTTTATATAGGGACGGAGGGAGTCAACCTATATAGAATTTGGATCAAATAAAAAAAAGTCTTAACGTGTGAAGTGAGAATTAATCTCAGCCGTCCAAATTGTCGATCTGATGCACAATAGCTCCTATCTGATGCACTTTTCAATAGACCTTATTCGATGCACTTTTTGAAAAGTGCATCAAATAAGGTCTATTCGAAAGTGCATCAGATAGGGGTTATTGTGCATCAGATCGACTCTTTGAACGGTTGATATTAATTCTCATTTCACACGTTAAGATGTCTTCTCATTTGAACTCATCCGGTAAGGTATACCATACCGGAGCCGCTGTGCGGCCTCCACGTTCTGAGGGCCTTCCCAGTGTAATTTTTCGATGAAATTTTTTGAGAATGTTCTTCATCAAGTCTAGTACATCCATACCAAATTTCAGCAAAAAAGTCAATCGGGAAGGCAGTCAAATGATTTTTGGAAGATAACTGCACCCTTTATATACATATAAAACGCAGTTATCTTCCAAAAATCGTTTGACTGCCTTCCCGATTGAATTTTTTGCTGAAATTTGGTATGGATGTACTAGACTTGATGAAGAACATGCTCAAAACATTTCATCGAAAAATTCCACCGGGAAGGCCCTCAAAACATGGAGGCCGCACGACGGCTCCGGTAAGGTATACCTTACCGGAATTATTTCCTATATATATATATATATATATATATATATATATATATATATATATATCAAATAATCATCTATTGCGGAGTAATTTGTTGTAAATCATAGTATGTGATAGAAACTAGAAAGCCCAATTTTAATATACTTTTTAAAGGATTAAAATACGTACTACGTATTTGTTTTATTTATATGAATAATATGTGTGGTATATAAACATTTAAATCAATTCTATCTTTTTAGAAGATCTCATTCATGCAATATTTCATTGCACGTGCGTAGAACGTACTATAGCAAGTAGAAATGAAGAACACTTTGAGTGGTAACACTGAGATTAGTTTAATCATGAAATGACTAAATATGCTGATGAATTATAAGAACTTATATTTCAAATGCATTTTTTAATTAAAAAAATAATAATTTATGAAAAAAGGTAATTAATTCAAACAGTCTTCTTAAACCAATCAGCCAACTGAGTGAGAAAAGTACCTACAATCCTTTTTTTTACAAAATTAGAGACCGAAAATAAAAAATAGTGTTTTGTAAAGATTTGAAGTTGGACGACTAGATGAGAATAGAGGCTACTAAATTGAGTTTATTTATATAGGACACCACATGCATGTATGAAAAGCATATGGACTTTAGTAACGTTGTTGTTCCATCTTGTTTACTTACATAGCTATACGTAATGCAATTCCCATGCAGTGTTTGTGAACGGAAAGATTTGCAAAGACATAAACCACGTAAATGCTGATGATTTCTACTTGCAAGCCCGATTTAACATCCCACGAAACACATCAAACCTGTTTGGATATGTGCGGACGCCAATAGGAGCGGGAACCCTACCAGGACTAAACACGATGGGTATTTCAATAGGGCGTGTGGACTTGGGACCGTATGGGGTGAACACTCCCCACATTCATCCTCTAGCAACCGAGGTCGTCACGGTATTGGAGGGGAGAATATATATTGGATTCATTGACTCTAGAAACAGATTGTATGCCAAGACGCTCCTTCCTGGAGACATTATTGTCTTGCCAAAAGGACTCATTCATTTCTTGTACAACACTGAAGACCGCAATGCAGTTGTTTATGCTGCTTTTGGGAGCCAAAACCCAGAAGCCCTCCATTTACCCAACGCTATTTTTGGCAGTGATCCTCCCATTCCTCTTGAGATTCTTAGCAAAGCTTTCTTATTAGACAAGAATGAGATTAGCCGAATCCAATCCCAGATTCGGTCAGAATTATCCAAGTGAGATCAGCACATACTCATGCATGCATGTGTGCACGTCCGGTCTCAATATACATTCTCAGTAATAGCTATATTAAATAAAGGAACCTCTATATGTAGAAAATCAATAAATGTATGTGCCATCCGATGGAGTTCAAGGCATACATATAATAATGTATTATATTATGTGTCCTTTTCTAATCTTGTTATCTTACTCTCGTATAAATTAAATATATTTGTCATGGATTTTATTGGGGAAACCTGTTTCATTATTTCACATGATATCACAACTCATAATTGTATTTCCTCTCGTTTAGGAAAATCACAACGTTTACCCCTTTTAGATGCTATTTATTCATCTTCTTAGCCTCTATATTTAAGGGAGAAAGACTCTAATAGGACTAAAACATAGTCTTTGAACTTAAATAGGATTAGCTACTTTTATAAACCTAAATAGGACTAAAGTTGACCCAAGGGACAAAAATACCCCTGCATTCATATACGTAGTATCTTCATGGGCTGAGGCAATGATCTCTCTCTAGCTCCGTACAAAACATCCGGCCCAGACTACTTGAATATCAAGCTTTCAACCCCTTCCGCTCCCAACTCTTCGTGAAAAGCAAATTAAGATCCGAGAACTGTGCCGAAGATGAAAGAGAAGATGGGCGGCGGGAAGGTCGGAAGGAGATGCAGGGCACTGCATGGTGTCGCAGATCAGATCTATCTTCTTCGTTTTCTTCTCTTTTCTCCTCCTCCTCCTCCTCTCTTTCTTCCGTCACTGACTCGCTGCTCATTGTTCGCTTTTTGTATTTCTGAATTCTTCAGTCACTTTCTTTTTCTCTTTGCTTTTTCGTATGTCTTCATGTTTTGTTTTTTTTAACATTTCTGTCTTATTCGTATGTTTTGCTTCATGTTCGCTTCTCATTGTTCAGTTTTTAATAATTCTTCATGTTTTGCTTTTTCGTATGTCTAATTTCCTATTTCAAAGTGATCCGTAGTTTTCGTTTACATACCGTAAGTGCTTTGTTTTGTTTAATGTTTATGTTAATACCTTTTGGAGATAATTCCCTAAGTGGGAGTAAAACATGACTAAAGTGCAAAAGCATTTGACTGTGTTTCTAACTGCGCAGTTATTTTCAAGAATTTATTTGAATGCCTTCCCGATTGAAGTTTTAGCTGAAATTTGGTATGAGTAAACTAGACTTAATGAATAAGATGCTCAAACAATTTCATCAAAAAATTCCAACGGGAACCGTCCCAAATGGCGACGGTCGGACATAGTCTCCTAAATAAGGGCTTATTTGACCTTTTTTGTTAGTACATGGCCTATTTGCACCTTTTCCTTCTTAACAATGAACTAATGTGTTGATTAGAATGAAATTCAATGTTTTGTTTCTGCTGCGGAGTATCTGAAGAAAGTATTTAGCTTAATTCAGAGTTTTCTGAAGCTGACAAGATCATAAATTTTACTTAAAATGCTTTAAATCAAATGAATGTTTTATTGAAACAGAGAAAATTCACATGCCCATTACCCTATGTATGATATATCAGTTCAAACAAATTTCCAAATACCATCCAACAGTATGCCTAAAATACTTCATATTCCAAGTCTAAATCCAATAGTTTATAAGTTTTATCTAAAATGCTCAATTGCTTTTCCCGTGTATTCTCAATAGGATTGGACTGTGAATCAAAAGTAAAGGGATCCACTGAAACCAATCAAATTATGTGCCCATTGTCTGTTTTTTCTTGTTATCAAATAAGCCCCACACTGCTCTTATTGCTGAGAACAACAATATTATAATGTTGCAGGCCTGTAATGTTGTTTCACTGTATCATCTAATAAAACAGGGTATAGTTTCTGTAAGACTTTAAGTGTTATAGTTGGTTTTCTCATCTTTCTTTTTCAAAATAATGATAATAATATACATAGTAAATTATAACTTTATATTGTTATTTACTCCGTATTTATCTCTTTATAAAGCATGGTAAAGAAGAGGGGCCTAACTGATGAGCTTGTACTAGTAATTGATAGTATGATAAAGTTATGAATGTAGTTATTAAGCATATGTTTTTTATTTATTGTCAGACATACATCACATACCCACTTTTTGGACTGATAAAAGAAAAATAAAAATTGGTGGATGCCCTTATTGGTCTCTCTGTTCACTCTTCAGTATCTCTGTTTTCTTCTACTTTCCCATTTTCTGTTTATAAATCATTTGACCAGACCTATAGCTTTCTTATTTCTTAGAGATATGCATTTGGAGAGGGCCATATTTTGTACAGTATGCACTTTTGTTTCTGTTCTGAAATGAATTTTGAAGCTTGAATTAGGTAATGTTGTGATTGCATTTAAACACCACATACTTTACAGAATAAGGTAAGAATCAATTTATTAACTGTGAATTCTTAGTTACTTGTTTATAGTTTTCAGTTAGTTTAGTATTTAAGCACCACATTACATAGGTAAGTTTCACAAAAATACATAGTATATCAATGTGTTGAGGCAAAGTTATTTGGTGTAACCTTTTCACATTTAGTATTTAATGTTACAGACACAAATTTTGATAAATATTATGCTTATTTTTTAGTCACTTTACAGTTCATAAGAGTCAAATAATTATGTTTATAGTTTATACTCTTAGTTTATAGTTTGCCTTCTTTTAGTCAGTTTAGTCATACTAAGCTTAGAGTTTACTGTTACTTTTAGTCAGTTCTAGTCTTAGTTTATAGTCTGGATTCCTAGTTACTCATAGAGTACTTTATAGTTTATTTACTTTTAAGTCAATCTAATAAGTTTATAAGTTCAAAGAGTAACTTTACATTCAGTTAACCAAGTCTGATTCTTTAGCCATTATATAGTTCAAATTCTTAGAGAGTAACTTAACATTCAGTTAACTAAGTCACTTAACCAAGTTTACAAGTTTAGAAAGTACTTATATGTTTTTGGTCTAATGAGTTTGAAGCACAATGTCTGAAGCAGTGTGTTTCTCTACAGGGCTTAATGATGGTCATTTTCATGAACAAATGAAAGCTTTTGTGGAAGTTGAGGAATCGGATACACACCAGAAGTCAACCAACCATCTATTGCAGTTTCAAAGAGGAAAAGAAGAGTACAAAATGTGTCTGCCAAACCCAAAAAAGAAAAAATAAGTCCAGCTGAAGCATTGACAATGCCACCTGATGCAGCAGGCTCTAGTGCAACCACTTAGCCCATTTTTTAGGGGTTTATTACGAAAGATGTCATTGTGAAACCCTTGGGTGTGCTTTTTGTAATATGTTTCATCTTTGTAATGCATGTCTGTTATGTACTTGTTTAGTCTTAGACTAAATTTTGGAGCAGTTTGGGATGCCTATAACAATGTTTCAGATGGCAATTTTTGTCAGGATAAACCAACTTTGTGTATTGCCAATCTGGTTCCTCTTAAATTTGTCTGATGTGTTCTGATGTGTTAAACAGACTTTGTGTATTGCCAATCTGCCTATTGTATTTGCTTCTATTTTCAATAGAGGAAATTTAACTGTTAAAGTTGAATCATACTGACGGAAGCATTGAGATTGTCAAAGTAATTTGACAATTATTATACACATAGAGCCTGTTTTGTAACACTAAAATCGGCTGAATCGGCTGATTCTGCTGAAATTTATGAAGTTCTGGATGAAGTAGCTGTATTGGCTGATTCTGCCGACTTATGAACAAACATTATTTAAAATATATTTTATTAATAAAATAAATAATAAATTATATTAAGAAATAGCTAAAATGATCATCTACAATAACTTCAACCAATACAGCCAGAAAAGTTACTCCAACCTTACATTTTCTTATTATTATACAATTCAGCACGTGAGACCATAAATTGCGTGTTTGATGAAAAGTTGGCTGATAAGCCTCATAAGCCGAAAAACGAACTCACCAAACAGGGTCATAATGTTTATAAATACATTGTTCATATATCTGTAAATATAACAATATCGGAAGATGGTCTCATTGGATGATTACGATTTTCCTATGCATGCATAAGGCTTGCATTGTTCATCTTCTGCCACCAGTGATTGTTCCCCCTCACTCGGCGTTGTTCCAGGATTAAGGTTTAGTGCGTGGAACCCAGACCTGCTTGGGTTCCTTTTTGTATTTGTTTGAGGAATATCTAACGTAATCATAGCATCTTTCCAAAGTCTTTTGACAGGAGTGACCTTGATACCGTAGATGACCTATTTTGCCACAATGCCCGCAAAATCAGTTATCATATGTATCAACGTATTTAGGTTTCCATGTACCATAAAATCCTTTTGTCTTCTTATTAAAAGTTCGGTTTGACGTTTGTCCATAACCGTTTTTGTGTTTCTGAACCAATTTATCGAACCAATTTGGTCCAGTTCTAGGTGGCTATTGATCTGGTCTAGAACTGGATTGTCCTCGGGTTCTATTACCTTTAAAGGGTTGGTTCTGAAAATTTGATTTTTTATTAGATCGAATATCCCTTGGAATATATCCGAGACCTGCAGTCTCGTTTACCCTTTTATTGTGCCGAGGAGGACCAGTTCCAGAATGAGGTCTAGACCTGGTTTTGTTTGTTGCACTATAGGATTGATATTCCGGTCTATTTTTAAAATCTGTGCACTCGGCTACAAGACGATGAAGATGATCAACCAAACTATCAATGCTCAGAATTTTTGAGAGAAGTTTTTCATCATGATTAACTTGTTTGTTCATACTATCGAGCTTAAGAGAGCAAATGATTTGATCTAGTTCTAAAACCACCTCACTGTACTTAAGCTTTTCATCGATTAACTCTCCCACTTTTGTTTCAAGCCTTATCTTGGCTCTCGTGGCTTCCTCGAGTTTAGTTTCAAGCTCAGTGACTTGTGATTTAAGATGATCATTTTCAGAAAGGTTTTGATTAAGCTCAATAGTCAATCTTTTGAAAATTTTCCGAGCTTTGGTTTTGGATAGAGAGTCGAATTTAGATAGAAAATGTTCAAATTTTACCTCGAAGCTCTCTTGGTCGGATTCCTCGTCAGAATGGGCCATAAGACATAAACACGCATGATTGGAGTTCTTCTCCTTCTCTTCTTCTTCGTCATCAGAAGAATCTCCCCATGCTGCCATCATTGCTTTCTTGAGATCTCTGTTAAATCCTTTATCCTCACTGAACCTCCGGTTGGAACTAGACTTGTTCTTATCATAGGTTCGTTCATTTTTCTTTTGTGGATAGTCCTTAGCCCTGTGCTCAAAGGAACCA